GACCTGATATGAGGGTATGAAAACCCTAACCAGGAGACTAGGTCGCATAGGCCCCCTTAGGCTCCCTGGCTGTGGACCTTGGGATGATGGTCACCNTGATATGGCTGGGTGTCTCAAACAGTGGCGCTCGTTCATCCACTCGTTATTTTCCTAACACCACTCTATATGAATTCCTTACCTTCCGCTTGAATTTGCTTCGACATTTTAGTCTACATTTTGCTCTTTTATCCAAATGGGCAACCAAAACCGGCGCAAGAAAGTGCATGGTTAATGGTTGTAAAAACTGAACTGAACTGAACATATGGAGGGTCCAATATGATAAAGTTGAAGAACTAATACATAAGAGATTGTCATATGTCGCGAAACTGAAGAAATGGCCTTTGCAATTAAGCGAGGGGCAATAAACAGAACGTAGACACATGTGCTGTTATCATGTTGCCGTGACAGTTCAATGATTCACACTTTTCAGATTGAACGCTGGAAAATGTTGTTTGACCAAGCTCCACAAGATCTGTGAAATACAGAGAAGTAAAGAGTCATAGAGCAGCAAGCTTGGATTAGCCCATCCGATCGTTAAAAAAATCTTTTTACTTCCTTTTTTATTTATTGAATATACAAATGTACAATCAATTTTCAGGAAGGGGGCTGCGTTCACGCAATGACTGCGTGGGGAAATACTGAAATATGGTAGACGGGCGGCGGTGCAGCGGTTTGAACCCGGGATTTACTGGTCACGGGTTTGTGACCCAACCACTTCGCCACCACCACCAGTGAAGAGTCATACTATTGAAAAACAAAAGTGAGGGTTGAAATAATATATGAAAGATGCTTATTTGCAAACAAGTCAAATATGATTGGTCTTCGAAGGAAGCGAGACAAAAAGATTGATGCTAATGGATCTGCAGCAGAGAAATTCAGCTTTATGGTCGTTCATGCGTGCATTTCGTTTGTGGTGTGATAGTGCTTATTTAGCAATAATAAGAGAATAGAAATGAAACAGTATTTATTGGTCTAGCGGAAATCACTAGACAGAAAAACGATCGCCTGATTTCATTACGCTGCAAAAGCCTCAGTATGGTTGGGGGTGGGTGTCTAGGGTTGCGGCTGGTCACCCTGTCCTTGCACCTCACGAAATGCCTCCATACGACCAAGCGTCTCAAATAGCCTCTGCTGAGGAAGCCCTACTCACTGCCTTCTCGCGGCGGAGTTGTTTTCCCACCAAAGTGAGAGAACGAAAAGCCGATATCCGGGGCTATAGCCGGGTTGGTGGACCACTGGCAGTTCACCTAGGGGAGCTGGCCAAAAACCCTGATTCCAAACCAACCATGAGGAGACGTACGAACCACACCCA